AACCATACTAATGCTTTTGTTAGTGAACTGAATACCATAATCAACTCTTTTCAAAGTATCTCTTAAGTCCATTGCACGCAGTTTCTCTTTTTGCAAAGCAAGCAACTCTGAGCCCGTCATTCCTAAAGCACGAGGAAAATTGGAAAGGGTTAATTATACATAGGCAGGTAATGAGACAATCTTGGTAGAACAACCGTATTCAGCCCCTACCAACATTCGGATAAGATAATAACAATTGTCCTGGCTTTCTTCATTATGTTAAGCAAATAAAACTCTCAAATAGGCAGGTAATGAGAGGCTTGCATTAAATAGGTCCACTAAAACTGTTGGCTAAGCAAATAAATCTTGATCCTGTCAAATACTTATTGACATGATTCATCACATTCAAAACTCACGTCTTTCATCAGTTCTGAAAAGGGACAGACACAACCAGAGATGTTAGAAATATAACTTCAGATGCCTGCTAAACTCCATTGAAAGGTTTTAGCAGCTTCAGATTCTGAAGTTTCGGTATCTCAAAAGTAGCCTTGATCTTTTGTGGATCAAAATCAACTACTTGATAGTGAAACATGGATCTGAGAAGTTTACCAGATCTAACTCCAAATGCCTATTTAAATGCCTATTTATAGCTATTCGGATATGATTTGTGGGTCATCTAAGTGGCTACTTCCTTCTTGCTTCTTCACAAACAAATGGGACCCAAGCTAAATTAAATCGATAGATATATAAAAGCCATAGATAAGACTAAATGCATTCATGAAAGCTGTTGGATTAAATTAACATATATATAACTGAACTGAAGTTAAATTAATTCTATGTATTCGGGTCTGTAACAACATCATCAGAATGGTTCCACAATCAGATCCAGCATGTATGAATGTTAAAGTAGACCATAGGCACAATTAATCCCATGGAGATCGTTCCTAGATGTGTTGAAACCTGTTATGTTCAGGCCAGATTTGTATGTATTCTGTTGTCCATGCAACTGTTGAGCCCAAATCAGAGTGGTCACGTATCTATCTATAATGTTATATAAAATCGAACAAATAAGAAGAGACACTCCGAATTGCAATTCAATTTGTATACAGTTACAATTGCAAACTGTCGGTTCTTTCTATAACAAATACGACAAGCAATTCTACACATTCAATTTTGGCATCTCTCTTATATAGAATAGGGTACTGAGTTGATCAGTTTAAAAATGATCAACAACTAAATAGTGCAAACAAAAACAGAACTAATTAATTTTAACCTGATACTGGTTGTAGTCCAGCAAAAGATATTCGTTCAGCTAGTTTTGGAATGAAAGCTTGATCACAGTCTCCAAAACCTTCTCTTTGTGCCCATGCCATAGAATTCGTGGTACGGGTTTGCAGCAGTTCTTCTTTGGATGCCTGAATCTTTATCATTGTTAGCAGAAAACGTGACTGTCACTTGCAGGCAACTGCAAATTATTAGATGACTACCTTCAGTTTGATTTGCAGGTTATGTAGACTAACAAGGTACTCAGTCAGTTCCAAGAGTTTCTGTTCAAGTTCTTTTTCTTGGCCAGAAACATTGTCCAGCATTGGCACAACAAGTCCTCTCAAGTAAGGTTCCATCTGAATCAACGAAGAATATCACCATCTAAAAGGATGCAAATGGAACAAAACATTTAAGAAAATGAATTTTGTTAACTTACAGTCAAAAACATATCAATTTAAATGTTCAGTTAGCATAAATCAAAGTGTTACAATGAACTAAAAGAAGTACAAATATGAGACCATAAATATAAGTTAGACTGTATTATATCATCTAGTATAAGTTTTTTGATATCTTCTTTCAGAGAGGCAACCACCACAAATTCAAAATTGGTCTCTCCTTCAAAAATTTCATGGATACTTATATCATGGATCAAAATTACTTTCAAACACACAATTTTCAAATGTGTACTATCTTCCCAATGAACTAATGTACTAACCATTTAACAGCAATAGAAAGGAAACTGAGCAATAACCTCAATTGACCAAAATAACTTTCAATCTCCAAAGAATGTTCATCTCATTAGATTTCCTGCAAACTTGTCACAACCTGGCACAATAGACCGACTAATCAAGTAATTCAGATATAACAAGCTAGTTATAGTAAACCTATCAACCTCATCCCACCTCCAATGTGGAACAAATCAAGGCATCACAGACTAATCTATCAATTATGTACAAACTATAAACAATAGAGAATATATTTCAAAACCCTCAATAACCTCATTGCAAGCAATCTTAATCCTTGTAGTTGTGTCATTTCCTCCTTTTGACTTATATTAAAAGATGTTCAACCAAAATCAGTCAGAAAACTGTCTTTGCCATTATTTAGACACTTAATTTAAGTATGAATACCGAAAAAACTGATCTCCTGTGCTCATTCTATAAGCTTTTAGCTTTTAAACTTCCCATAAAAACAAATACAATATTAGTTGGAACATCCAAGCAAAAGTATTTGTTATTAATTTAGTATATAAATAAATAAATAGAGGCATCTCAAAGAATCTTGAAGAAAAAAATGAAAAGGATCAACCAGAAGTATAGAACTGACGCTCTCTGAGTTTCTAATCAGTTAGCATCAGTAAGTTAGGGACATTGCACTGCACAAGTTATGAGATCTCAACCTTCCACAAAATTTGAACTTCATATTCTTTGTAGTTTCTACTGAATTTTTCTGAAGACTCACTGTCTCATGCGTGTATGATAGACTATAGTGAAGCAAAAATTCAGAACTCACAGCAAAATATATTATGCAAATTAATACAAATAAAGATAAACTATATGTTTAAACCAAGTAATCTAAGTTAACAAGCATGATTGATGAGTTTGTTTGAAGGCTAACCTGCATAAGTTCTATGATGTTAACACGACTAATGCCCCTAATAGAAACCAGTGCCCCAATCTCCAAACGCTTAACCTGTTCCAGGAAGAGGATAAACTGACCTAACATACATTTCTAACAGGACGTATTCAACTAAAAACTTACACTCTCTATGGCAACCAAACAACCATATCTAGCAGCATAGGATGCTCCACTTGAAGATATACTGGAACGAACTGGATCCAACACAAAGTGCACAAACAGCTTCTTTCTAGAGAGTGACTGCACATAGTAGCACAAGAAAAAGAGATGAAATGTGTATCTATTTGCACTGCAGTGACTACAAAAGACAACTATGCTCATTCATATATAGGACTTAGAGATTTGCAAACTAACATTACATTCACTATAGGAGTATTAAACTACAGAAGAAGTCAAAAGCTTGACTCAATCCCCGTAAAGCCTGTTAACTCTTTACTCTCTGCATCTAAATGTGTATTCACTGAAAATTCTTAAAATTTAAGCCAAAAGCATCCAGTTGCAGAGGTCACCATGGATGTATGACCTTGATTGATCTGCCACCTAATTGTTTTGCTAAACATGCTGCTTATATAAATTCTTTATTGTTATGCAACTCCAGAAAAAAATTACATTAACATTTGCCATTTTGTCAGGATGGATTAAATCTCAGTAATTAAATATCAATTTACCTACCATTTAATGAACAAGGCTATTGAAACTTGCATTGATCAGTATTAATTAAAACTTGAACTAATCAGTATTAACCATCAAAAAAAGACAGAGAATATACAATGTGAATACCTCTTCCAACAGTGCCAAATACCTTGCTTCATATAAATGCAAAGTCTTGCTCTCTGATGGAATTAAAACCTAAAACACAAAAGAAACAGCGACATAAATAAAAAAATCCATACTTTCTTATATATACTTGTAACAAGACATATAAAGAAAGAGTTCTTCTGACAGCATCATCTCCACTAACCTAAGATAATCCAGCAAATTTATTCCTGTGGCCATAACTATTTGAGTAGCTAAATTGCGTTGAAACCTACAGATATTGTGGTTAGACACTGCAATTCAGTTAGCATTAGTGGTACGGGGAGAAATCAAGGGAGACCTATAAAGGCTTTACTAAATAAAAAAGAGATTTGAATGTTCTTGAACTAACGACATATTGCCTTACACAAAACTCAATGGTGGTAAAAGATCCACTAAAAAATGCAAGAACCATGAGGTTGACTGTTTATGTGCTCTGTGCTTAACAAAGTGCAGCTTTGGATGAGTATCTGACTTTATTCAGATGGCATTCTTTGTGAATGAATGAAAAAACTTAAAAAGAAGATGAACTTGAACTAAGTGAAAGTGAGAAATATGAAAGCATAGCAAACAGTTATCATGTTCATAAAGAAAGACAAGAACTCGTGTAGTACGAAAGAATGATGCTGCAGTCATTCTATTAACAGGTGAAACTTACTAATACTTCTGACAGCAATAATAAGCCAAATATGCAGTGATGGATTAGGTGAATATGGCAATATTAACTGATGTAGACTGAAATTTGTCACATCCAAAACTTCAATATGGAAATGCCCATAGAGTTAGGCTGCCCACTTTCCTGGTTTCCTTGATATAATTTTGTGCGGTTCATGAGTGAAGTGTCTCAATGGGGTTCCAGCTTACTTGTACCTTTCTGATGAACACTTATCCATAAAGAAAAAATTGCCCATTTCACCTGCTTCTAGACTTGGCCAGTAAAGAATTCTTAGGGTCAAGCACTGCAACTAAAGAGATCTATCTGGCAACTAGTTCTTTAAGTTTTTTGTCAAATTTATCTTTTAGCATTTGGTTAGAATGTGACATGTTAACACCCAGTTATTAATATATTCTTTTGATTTTTTTTATTTTTATTTTATCCTCTACAGATGAACACATATAGATGGGAAAAGGTTTGGATTCAATATATGGTCTAAATATGGCCAGAAGATATCCTAAGGATAAACTATAAATAGTAATAATGTGATCATGTATCACCAAGACAACACCACAGTATCCAGCATTAGTAGGATGGCAATGGTATTATCCACAAATTTCATCCTACCTATTACAAATCTGACACTTAGATACCCAAACATGAAGTTAGTACTTATTTGCTTGTCCAGACTCATCCCAGACCCAATCAATGGGAACCCTATCCAGCATAAGCAGGTCAGTTAGGCACATGTGCCTCAAAGAATGACCCACTGCCATGCCTGAAAAGGAAAAAGAACATTATATTATAGATGGACATTGTAGTGGTTAAAACTTGTAATTATGCTCAAATTAAACGACCAGTCTTATCTCAGCCGGGAGTACCTCCTACCTTCGTTCCATGGACCAGGTTTTGGATCCCCAAAAGATGAAAAATTACTTGCTGTGAGTAAGCTTATCCATGCTACATGCACATTTGCTTGCCCTGATGTGGCATTGACCGCCTGTATGAACTTAATGAAATTATCTAGGATTGAATGAATCATGTACCCAACTGTAATCTACAGTGACCTTTGGTTAGGTCTTATGCCTAAAACTTAGGGCCTGTGCCTGTAATAAATAAAATTCTCTCAGTAAGTATTCACTTCCATTTTGATCAAATGCTCAAGCTAGCTTACGAAACTACAACAAAACTGGAAAGATACTTAAATGCTCAAGAAGCATCTTTTACTGGCTTTTGTGGGTGGGTATGTCATTTACTGTAAACACATCTACCTTCTATTCTTTCCCTTTAGTCCTACCAATTCATACCCAAAAGATCATTCAAACTTCCAACATTCTAGTATCTTGTCCTGTGATAGATACTTGGACAAAGAGGAAAATCAAAATGCATAGTTGATTAGACATGCAAGGCATTAGGAGTTCGTTGGTTGTTTATTTCCAATATCATACCGGAAGGCAATCATTTCTTAGAAGTCAATTTCACCCTTTACACCTCTGATTTACCTACGAGGAAATACTTCCTCTTCCGACTAGGTTTGTGATTCCATATATACAAGTCATTGCCTAATGATCTAGATCGTGAACAAATTCACTTGATTTTTCCTTAAACCTAAGGAGTCACTACCCTCATAAATAACGAAATCAACTGGAGCAAAAACATAGAAAGAACCCTCGACAAATTCTTCACATCAGCCCATGGAATAATGAACCATCCCTGCATTTTCATCAAAGACATTAAGTGATTCAACCGAAAAGCCATCAAATTTCGAGTCCGCGTGCAACGTGCGAGCACCCGTTGAGCTGGGCATTACCTCATTCATCTGGAAGGGAAGGAGAGGGAGATCCAAAGAGGACGATGAACCCGACACGGAGGAAGAGGAACACCTCCTGAACCACCGGCCAAGCTGGGAAGACCCGGTTCGCGGGAATCCAGAGGAACAGAGGGAACGAGATCTCGGGGCAGGAATAGGGTTTAGAAGGAGACGGGGAGAGGGGGCGAGAGAGAGGGAGCGTAGGCTCATCGGGAGATAGATAGATGATGCCCTTTCCGTTCTTGGTAACGGTCGAGAGCTCTTGTCAGGATAAGGCGGCGTGTACATATATATCCACGCAGATAGGGAGTTAAATACTAAAATATTATTAATATAAGTTAACTTAATTTAATTTAATGAACTTACATAGTTCCGTTGATTAGAACACCATTATCACTTACTTTATCAAATAATAAGATTTTATTAAATCAAATATTTATTTTTCTTTAGTTTTTATGAAATCAAATATTTCTTTTTCTTTGGTTTTTATTAAAACTAATATTTATTTATTTATTTATTTTCTTTTTGAGCAAATAAACTCAGATTTAGGGGGCAGCTATTAAGCATTCTCATCTCTCTTTCCAGCATTTAAGATTACTAATAAATCTTACCCAATGCACATTGATTTGGTTACTTGAACCCAAATAAAAAAGGCCCATTGAATATAAAAACTCAAATCTAGAAAGAGGTTAAATGATTTGCAGATTAAGAACCGGATAAAAATTATTATTCCCCACAGGTAAGCCAATGTAATGCCCGGATTGGTGATCGGAGACCTCAGTAGTCAATATGCTGTGGTCAACTGCAAATAGGGTTAGTCAACGACCTCATAAAAATCATGCAAAGGCTAAGGCTGACTCAACCACCTCATGTAATTCATGCAAAAATATGTATGATGATAATGGGCACTTTCATATCAGGATTCTGAGGAAATAATACCCTAATCCAAGCAACGATCGTGGTTTGCATGACATCGCCGATGGATATAATTATAGCAGAATAATTATATACTGCTATAATTTTTACTTTTGGATTAATGTAAAAGTTATTTGATTTTTCACAAAAGATGTCTACAGCTATGCACAATATCAACCATTTTCGATCTTTTAATCAATGGGAAAAAAAAAGAGCAAAATTTTCCACCTGCATTTACTCATAATCTAGGATAAACTTATCATGAAAAATCCGACATGCAAGTAGAAAAGATCGCCATTTCATAGAGCTCGATCATAAATTTAATAAAGCTTCAGGAGAAAAAGACGATGCAGAATACACAAGTAAATGAGACAATGCTGAAGTAGATAGTCATTACAAGATCCAGTTCTCAGTACATAGCAAATAGAAATAGTAGAAATATAAGTATCTGAGTCTCTCTGAACATAAACAGCATGAGAGAAACAGCAGCATATTGTGATAACATATTCTCTCCACATTCAAACTGCATGAACGAGAGAGAGAGAGAGAGAGAGAGAGAGAGAGAGAATGAGGAGTTTCTTGGACCTAACCATGGTGTTGAAGTAGTACTGAATGAGAGAGGAGGCCATGAGACCAAAAATATATCTCCAGGGCCAATAGGGCGGGAAACCTTAAAATTTCCTATGGGTGATCAGAGAACTCCACCACCGTATGTGGAGTTCATCTTGTAAGATAGGTAGAGGAGGAGGAGGAGCTAGATGCCAAAAACAAACACTAGCTCTCCTCTACACCTGCTTGGCTTGGGGCTAAAACTCCCCCCATGGAGCCTAGCCACAAATGTACACACAACAACTAGTTAACATAAAGGAGGTTAGTAAAGTCATCTTACCTTTCCCTAGGTAAGGTGAATGCTTGGTAACAGTGAACTGTTACATAATGTTCAACTGGTAAAGTTGACATGGAGGTTTGGTCATACACTGTCTTCTTCAGAGTCGATGAAACTCACAGAAGACTGGAAGTAAAACATAGATCAGGGCATGCCTCACCCTGGTACTCAAGACCAAATGCACCTCTGCAATCTCGGGCTGACAACTGAAGAGGAAGACGAGACCAATGAGTTAGACGCTTGGGTTTGCATTAGCTCAAAGCCCTCCAGGGGCAGTTGTGTTAGATGTGTCTGGCTCCCGAGGAGTCAGGCATTGTTATCCTTGTACTTGCACTCCACCTGTTGGTGAATGCAGATGCTTTAAGCCCACCCTAGGGCTAAAGCAAGAAAACCTGCCGATTGATCACTATATGGATGTGGAGCACCCCTCCAACCTTGAGCTTGACTGACACTGTTAGTCCCCCAGGGACTGAACTCGGCCTACAAAGACCTTCGGATGGGAACTTTGGCTTGTGTTAGAGATGATGAACAGACCTACAGAAAGACACATGCAAGAAGAGAACTGAGGATGTGTGAAGAAGAACCATGGTTAGGCCAAGGGTTGCTCTGGCGCTGTAGTCGCAGTGAAGTGGGAAGGAATGAGTCTGTAGTGGTGAGCAGTCGGACTTGGCAGGCTTGGAGCTGTGAGAGCCATGGTCATGCCTGTTTCAGATTAAAAGGCACTGTTAAAGATATTAGTAGCCCAAATTACAGATATATATAATTGCCTCAACAAATTAACGAGATTAGATGCGATAGATTCATGTTCATAAGTATCTTAACTTGTTATGATGTTAAGATAGGAATAGGTAAATGGTAGATATAGCAAATTAGCTGTTGACAGACCTGCTTGTGCTGTGGGGCTCGGTGCGAGGGAGGTGGCCACTCCATAGAGTTGGGCTCCAAAGCCGTTCATCCCCGCCGCCGTCGTGGTGGCAGCAGAGTATTGGAACATCTGAGGGTACTGCATGCCATATCCTTGGCCCTGGGCGTACGCGCCGGCGGTGGAGGTGGCGCCACCACCCTGCCCAAACTGGAAGTATGGGTAGTAGCCAGTGGCTGCGGCCACCATACCAGTTGTTGCCCCACCATAGAGTGGATATTGAGCAGACGCTCCACCATACATGTTGTAGTAGCTCTAAAAGCAAGTGACTACTGAGTCAACTCCATAGAGCAAAATGATTCATGCATAAAATGCAACTGCAATCAAACCACCGTTATCTTAACAGGAGGAGCATTGCGAACTCAAGATGGTCCAAGGAGTAGGACAATCCCACAAGAGGACACAGCTACAAGGATTCCTTTTAACGAAGTTCTAGTGCTTGGGGACCAGATGGCAAGACTGTGAGCACATGGGTGTAATGAAGAACTTCCTTGAATGAATGCTGAACTTAGTGAAGGACAAGGGAAGACAAGTGGGACATTATTGTTTGGTGGTCTCCCTGCAGACACCGCAAGTCCAACTTGTTCATGTCAGACCAATTGTCCAGAAAAAACTGCCCTTGGCCTTTTCTTTTTTGGAAAGAAGTCCCTCCATCAACAAGTCTTAATCCCTTGTTCCATGCATCATCTTGGGTTCAGTATATAATTTTCAGAATTTGCACTCTTTAAAGATAGTGTTTCAGATTCTATAAGCCATGTCAAAAACAAGTTCTGTATGATCATAGCCAGGAAGAAGAACAATATCTGGATTGGCATATGTGATGCTCCTAGTAGTGATTATTGAGACTGTGCTGCAATAAATTACGAGTCATATGCTGATAGATTTAAATTCTGAAACTACTACGGTAACACAATGAATTAGCAGGCCTGAGAGGAGAATCTACTGCCAGTGACTAGTACTACTGGGCGCAAGTGATCACACTATGCAGCAGCGAGGGAAGAACACACGAACTATGGTCAGCAAACATTTATCTTATGGTCCTAAATGGTTGCAGAAAAGTTGTCAGCATTTAACTCTCTGATCGTTCTCCCTTTTATAGCGAAAACGATGTAGTGCTTAGAATGATTGGATGCGTTTGAAGAACAATTTTCTGATGATATCATTATATATGTACACAGTCATACTACATCTCCTAAATGATAGCACATGTAAATTAGGAAATAGTAAATAATGTTTGATTAATCATGATAGCATGCCTCTGGAAGCTGACTTTGGTTTCATATCAGAAGACAAACATGAACACAACACTGATAAAATGTTTTAACAAGTTCAAAAACTCTCTCTCTCTCTCTCTCTATTTATCTATCGATCTATTTATTTATCTTTTTCGTCAAAACAATGCATGAGAAGAAAAAGTGGGACATACCGTGGGGTAATTGTAATCGGCAGAGTATGGTGAGAACCTGAAAACAAAGTGAGAAGTCAGATATGTATACATGTCAGTTTCATTCATGCATGTACGAAGCTAGAGAAAAGAAGAACACCCGAGGTCAGACGGCACGAGCATGTGCGCGTGGAGAAAGAGAGAGAACTCATCATATAGTGCATCAATGCATCTACATGGATTCTTAGCTACTCGAACATGAGATGTAAGAAAGAACATCGAGTACATGTAGGCAATAACTTATCGATCTGCATTGTCAAACACCTAAACAGGAAAGAGAGGGAGGGCGAGGTAAAGAGATAAAAGCAACAAAAGACTTTTGGATTAAATGAGTATGTCAGCTTCGTTAATCCATGTATATGAATGAAGGCGAACATTGTTCGGTGTACATGTTGTTTAGAGAGAGAGAGAGAGAGAGAGAGAGAGAGAGAGAGAGAGAGAGGAAGTGCAGCATGCATGGCAGCATGATGATGATGATGTTTGATGGGTCTGCTTTTACGGGCATGTGCACATGCACGTGGTAGCATCTGACTCTTACTAAGTGTGTCTCCTTCTTTACAGCTTACCCGTAGACATAATAAGGAAGGCCTTGTTGGATGGCATAATGAGCTGGGAAGGTGGCAGCAGGCGAAGGAAAAGCTGTTCCCATCCCACCTTGAATCCCTCCAGCTGCCTGAAAAGATTTCATAGCCCTAAAGTTCCTGCTCCCTCCTGCGAGTTAATTAAACCACACAACCACACTGTATCACCATCATCAACTCCAGTCAAACTGTATCGATTGAACTCTAGCTGTCAACCTCAGTTACTGTCTCCTTCCGTAAAATGGAATCCAAGGTAAAAAGAATACACCACATCATGCATGGTAACATGCCCAAGTATGATGACATTATTATTATTATTATTATTATTATTATTATTATTGTCAATGAGTTTGCCTTTACTGTGTTAAATGACCAGGTTTAGTATTGTTCTAAAAGCACAAAATTTTGTGTTTCTGCTTTTTCTTCTTTTCTGATGCTACACTATAAGTTTTAACCACACCTTTTAATAAAAAGAACAACACAAGGAAGCAGTCATATTGATCATACCTGATCAAACAGCCTACATGTCTTATGGTAACATGCCAGTGGTAGAATAAAATGTTGCAGACTTGAATCAAAACAGTGATATTTGAGCTTATGAAAAGATCAAATAGAGGAAAAAAATAAAACAAGAGGTCGAACTAACGAGGCAACAATCTTAAGAGGTTATCCTACTTCTTAACGCTTCTATCATGACTCCGTTCCTGGCCTGACTGATGAAGGTATCTAGTATGTGAAATTTGTGCTTGACATCACACAGAAACACACACTTAAAGCACCAAAGAGAAAGGAAAAGAATAAGCACAACAGTGAAGCTTTATGTACCATGAAGAGGAGTTGTCGGTCTAGATCTTTGAACCCCCAAGGAAGCAAGGTTGCAATTAGCTCTCCTTCCATCGATCACCGGCGAGGGATCCAAGCAAGCTCTCATCGCAGCCTCCGGCTCTCGAAATGTCACCTTAAATTCATGAAGAACACTGATCTATGAGTCCTGAGATCCTAATTATGTGGCATGGTTAAGGATCGCACCTCAAGAACCAGGTGCAAGAAATCAAAGGAGAAGGAACAAGGACTCACAAAACCATAGCCTTTGGACCTTCCTGTGTTCTTGTCATTGATGACCACAGCCTCCAGGATGTCTCCAAACTGCTCAAAGTACTTCCTCATGGTGTCTCTCTGGGTCTCCCAAGCAAGCCCTCCAACAAAGACCTTGGTGTAGGTGGTGTCTCCAAACTGGCCTGCCACATTAGGTGGAGACATCTTCCCCCCTCTCCCCAGATCCTTCTCCTCTCCTCCTCCTCTCCTCCTTCTCCTCTCACCCCCTCCTCCAAGGAGGCCTAACCTGCAAGTGGTCTAGATGTTATGAGCAAGAACAGCCCACCAAATCTAGTTAGGACAGTTTGGAGATGTGCTTGGTTGGTTAGGGCTAGGGAATTGAGAAGGGGAGTCGGAAAGAGAGAGAGAGAGAGAGACAGGAGAGAGAGAGTGTGTGTGTGTGTGTGTGTGTGTGTGTGAGGGGGAGGGGGAGGGAAGAAAAAGTTAAAGGCAAGAAAGGGAAATACTCCAAGGAGTAGGACCTATTGCATTATATACTCTTCTTAAAACAGTGCCCTGTGCGTCATCCTCTTGGTGAGGAAATATGATACAGCAAGGCAGTGTTTGTGGCTGAATTGATCGGTCTACCCCTGAGCATTGAATGGATTTACCGTGTTGTTGCTGTTGTACCACGTATGGAAGCTGGGAAAGGCAATTAGAACGGAACGGGGAGAGTTGGAACAGGAATGTGGAAACAGTTGGTAGTTGGTCAAGCAGAATCTTGTGCAAAATGCAGATCTGGACAAACATTATCTTTGTGCCTTTCTGTTAGATCTGATGATGGATTTCTTTTCCCTTTTTGTCTCCCTCTCTCTCAGAGATATATATATATATATATATATATATATATATATATATATATATACTTTAAATTTTTTACTCTAAGCTTAAGTTAACAATATATTGTTTCTAAACTCTAAAGCTTATGTATAAGATCTTCTTAAACGGCTAATTGTTAGAGTAGTTATATTAGAATTCTAATTAAAATTAATATATTAAAAATAATTATGGTGATGAGATTATTATGCATTATTTATATCTTAATTATTAATATTTCAATGTAAATTAACTACTGCTAACTATATAGTTGGTGATTATTAAACTGAATTTTATGAATAAATGTTAAAATAAGAGATAAATATGGGAAAATATGTGCTATTTCTAGATTTTGCAAGAATACATAGTTTAAAAGAATCCAAAAAGTCAAAAAGTTGAAAATCAATGACAAAATCCACTTTTTTATTGCTAAGCAATAGATACTTGTATGTTTATTCATTTATACTGATTTGTGCTTTGAATATAAAGATCAATTCTTCTGTTTGATTTTTGTTTTCAAATTTGAATAATATTCCTGTGAAGTTTCGATATTCTAATAAAGATGATCAATGAGGCCAATAATTATCTTAGACTTCATCATGGTTTAATTTAATTATCATCTGTATATAAATTCTGAAGAAAAAAATTCTTATAAGAAATTCTCGAGAACATTCAAAGTATTTATTTTACATTATACTACAAAATCTACAAATATATAAAGTAAAAAAGTATTTATAGAGTAATAAACTCTTTATTTACATGATTTTTTATTTCTTTGAGATCTTTTCAAACATGAACTGCAAATGAACTTACCAACCTCAAACATAATTAACCATGTGACCACCTATCTAGCTAATAGTCTCCCTAAAAATTGAGGATTCCATGCATGAAGAGAGAAATAGATTGATCTAAATTAAGGAGAATCCAAGCAATCTTATGGCCTACACAAAGTTGTAGGGTCAACCCCCCCTAGCAAATTACATGACAGAAATCTTGGAGCGGGACCCTACTCAAAGTTTGCATTTGAAGTCATGCCTTTATCCATTCTTATAACGCCAAAGCTCGATAGCTGTGGTCACCCCCTTGCGTATCAATAAAGGAAAACCATACTTCGATGGATCGAATCATGTTGGGAAAAAAAGATCTTTAAGGAAGAAATTTGATTTGTGAGATCCACAACGTATAGGTAGGATGCTGCTTATCAACATCATATCTAATGGTTTGTAAGGGTGACTCGATCAACTTAAATAGTAAATTTTCTTTCATATTATAAGAATCTTATTGAACCGGTTCAACATGATTCAAGAGTATAGTCGCATGCATAAAAAGTTAAATTTTTAAGCATAAATTGGAAGAGTGAATGATCGTCAAATACTTACAAAAGTCATATTGGGTTATTTCAAGTTAGTTTCAAACAATTTAAGATATTAAAATGTGTATATCTCTAGCTGTAAATTCTACATAACATTTCAAACCTCCAAGTTCCTATTACAAGGAGAAGTTTAACTATAAATCCGTTTGATGAATGATTTCAAGAATAAACCATTATCAAATAATTTAGGAGATTATAGGAATATGAGCTCAAATAGCTTAGGCTTCGATGTAGATAATGATATTGATACTAACTCGAATACTGACATGGACACCAATACGTCGAGTCATGTCGATATGACATATATGTTGCTACACTAAATTATGAGATTAGTTTAAAATTTAAATACTTAAAATATCAAAATATATCGAATAAGGTTTCAAACCCTAATCTTTTGGTAAGAAATTCTAGTATACCACCACTACACCGATGCTTTAGGTATAAATAAATATGTAAAATATATAACTTTCATGCATTATCTTAATCTAATCTTCTTTTCTCTCTCTCTACCCTACTTGACTTTTTTTTCCTTTTTCGTTTAATGTTGATTAGAGTTTTTTATGTTTGTGATAATAATGATTAACTAACAAATGTTAACTATAATGACATATTTGTAAATTTTTAAGAATTATGTGGTACATATATATTAAACCTACATCTAGATAGCTAAATATATAAATAATTAATTTGAAAGGATAAATATAATATAATTTTGTCTTAAAAAATTATGAAATATTCTTGAGGATACAAATACATATAATAGTTGAGAAAGCTGAATAGTTCAACTTATTGATGGGTTTGGTGGGAACATTAATAGATTTTAATGAAAAATTTTGTAGACCAATTAATTTAACCTGTTGAATCGGTTTAGTTAAGATATCTATATGAATACAACCCAGTTTTATATTGACATTTAGTTAATGTGAGCCTTGACAGCCCTATCGACTATTACCCTATATCTATGGAGAAATATGGGTTTCTATGCTCGGGCCCATATAGTCAAATTAACTAATACATCACTCTTCATGGTTTGTAAGGTGGTTATTTTAAGTGAGAATTCGAAATGGTTAAAGTGCAACCCTTTGTAGTTAGTTGATAGATCCATGTGAGTTGTGTATGGGTGTTGATAGAATATATTTTTTAAAATATTATGATCCTTCATCAATTCAGATTATTTAATATGTATAGGGTTTGGATCCAAATTGGATTTAATTCTGAAGTTGATCACATGTTTGGTATTAGGAAGTGAAGTGATTTAAAGACATTTCTACAAAGCTATGATCAGGGCATGCTTGATAAATATCTCCTCTGATACTTAGGTCAATAAGGATTCTGAGATATCAAGAATAGTCAAAAGAGTATTCTCTTAGTCTTAGTTAAGGATACACTTAGGGGACCTTTTATAATGGGCAAGAGTATCATTGAATTGAAGTAGGAGTTAGATCATGGGGTAGTTATGCGAAACCATGGGCTAGAACTATGCAGTGAAGATGTGCACTAAATTATTAGGCATTGTAGTTATGGTGTAGTATTCATACTGATACAGGAGACTACTAACTAATGTTGAAAGTTGAGTAGGCTTCATGTTTAGACCAAGTCGATAACATTATAAAATAATTTATTTAGTTAATGTGTCGAGCTAACGAGATGCACAATGAGATATGATATATTGTTAGATTAGAAACATGTCTGAACTCTTATCTCTTACCCCATCATATTTTGATGTGAAAGGGATTGTGACATCATGACCAAGAGATGCTTCATGACTTAGATTCGATCGTATCGTGATCAAAAGATGCTTCATGGTCGGGTTTAATTGCATTATGATTGGCATCATCATTGAGCAATATTTTATGACCAATTTCGAATGCATCATGATTAGGTGATGCTTCGTAGATGTGTTCAACCACATCGTTGTCGAGCTCTACTTCATGGTAGGATTCAGCTACAATGTAATAAGGAAATGATTCATAGTCAAGGTCGATTGTGTCGTCATCAAGTGATACTTCATAGACTCAATCACATCATGATTAGAATATGCTTTATGATCAAGTTTTGTCACATTGTTGTTGAGCAATAGTCCAGATCCCTTGGTGTGATCTATTACTATCACTTTAATTTTTACAAGTGTTCTACCTTGATTATAGCACATGATTTAATTTGATTTAGCTTCTAAATATTCATGATTATTGCTTGATAATTTATTTCTAAGAGCCAATCAAAAAGCTTCACTTTAAGATTTAGCCAAGCCGTTAGGGATTTGAGGAGATAGCAATCTTGGCGCTTAATCTTCCATGTCTAACCAACAACTATCACATTATCCTTTCAATTGAATTGTAAGATAACCAAACTAGTTTTAGAACTTGAGGGTTAATCTACCCTTTATAAAGGGGCAATTGGCCTTCATTTTTCTCATGTCTTTTGTGAACTTTGAATTTAAATATTTTAAATGTTTGAACTTTAGAATGCTCAATGAATTTTTGAACTCGATTTTGAAGATGTGAGATATCTTCTTTTTTACTCTTTTCCATCTTTCTTTGGTTCGGACTTATCTTTAATACCCTCCTCTCTTTCATTTCTTACTAGCCCCACTTCCTCCCCTAGGTCAAAGTTATCATGGCAAGAGAGGCCATCTCCAACACTTCTATGTCACCAATAATTACCCTCCTCTCATTCATCTTTTAAAGTTAGATAATATTGTTCTACATCCCTCAAGGCATGGGTGACATAGTAAATCAATCTTTGAAACTTACTCTTCCCGAATAAGGTCATATCTTAATTTTGAACCTTATCCTCGAAGGATTTAAGTACATTCGGAGTTTCTTAATGACGGTAAATGTTTCTTTAAAGTTGGTCAAATGATTGTTAGCCTTGTAGCATTTAACTAAAAAATCTTCCACATAGGTCTCCATATTGTATCTTCTTTGACCTTTAAATATTTTATTAATCATCCTCGGGTACATGACACCTACAATTTTTTATTTTGAATGAGATGACTTTATAATAATATTTTTTCTGAATTCATAATAATCATTTTAATTCGATTATAACTTAAAAATGCACCTATGAAGGTTAACAACTCTTGCTCTAAAGTTGCACTAACCAATTTATCAATTCATAGAAGAAGAAAATTGACCTTAGGACATGCTTTATTGAGGTCATATAGTCAATAAACATCTTTCACTTTCCATTATTTTTCTTTGTAAGTATAATGTTTATAAAATTAATTCAAATATAG